GGGGGGGGGGGGGGGGGCGTTCGCGAGCACGCGGGCGTGCGCGTGGCACTACGGAACACGCAGCGAACATCGTTATCCTCTGGCATCCATTGGCATTCGGCAAGAGGCTAATCCCAGTACTGTTACAACTTGATAGATTTTGACACGTACCATTATTGTCGCAGTGTTTCTGAGATGTATAATTGGCACAGAGATGCCGAAATGGCGCACCAGTATCGTTGGATCTTTGAGGCCACCTTCGTTTTGGCGATGTTGCTGTTCTACACAACATCACTTACCAAACAGTCGATTTCGACTTCGTCGATATTGCAGTTGGGGGATTTCTGGGACGGTTTGTACTGCACACCTCCTGTGTATCCGCAGCCAGCATTGTTGCACGCACTTCCCACTTGACGACACGATTTCGGCCAGCGACGCTCCCTGGGTTGGGACAGACCATGGCTTGTGGTCACAACAATCTTTCTAGCATGCACGGCTGCAGCATTCGACAACAGAATTTAAACACCATCACGCTCAACCGTAGTTGAACAACTACTGTAGCAGATTTTCACGCATGAAATATCATGAAATCCATGTCGATCAGCCTGCTGTCTGAAGGTTTGTGTACTTGTCTGCTCGGGGTCAATCATGTTATCATCTGCATCTTAGCGATGGTTGATCCAAGTATTTTGCGCGCGTGCGCGTGTGTGTGTGTGTGTTGTTTATTCGTGTACGTTCTTGAATCTGAATGTGCTACGCCAGTCGCAACTGAATTCACCCGAGGGTGAGCGATCAAGTGTTCGAAAGTGAATGTCCGCAAAGCTTATAGATCGGCGGGTTTCATGTGGCTTCAAGGCAGGTCGTATTGCTGATGGTACATGCATTCCATTGAAGCAGGATGAAGCAGTAAGCTGTCACGTAGGCAACTGGTGGTGATGCCGCTGGTTGTTCTTGTTTTCGACAGCACAGACAGAGATGAGATAATGCTGATGGTTGCCGCTGGCGATAGTGCAGGTTCAGCAATTCTTCAACCTGGGGGTCCGTGCCCGTGCCTTGGCTGCTCGGACCATGTCGCCAGACATCGCACGGACAGTATGTTTTCGCTTTCTTTGCAGGACGACGCAGAGCAAGATGAGACCGGCGAAGATGGAGGACTGGCGTTGCCTTCCGTCCGCGAGGGTCGATCTTGTTGGAAGGTGCATTCGCGGTTTCATCAAGTGGCTTGGGGGTTGGGTGATGGGGTCCCTGGCATATGCAGCCACAGTGTTTTCGTCGTGGCTTGTGGCGGCCTTTGATTCGGTCACTTCAACCTAAGAGCGCCCCATTCATGTGAGGCATGCGAAGCACACTTCGGGGATCTACTGTAACATGACGACCGACATGTGTTGACCAAGACTCCAGCACAGAGCGGACCTGGAGAAACTCCTTCCCGCGCACGAGGTGTCTTCCGCAAATCAACCAACACCGAGTAGCTCACACAAGCTGCCGCCACTTTTCTGACTGAATCCCGCCTTGGAGCGACCGAAACATCTGTGGAGCTTCTGCCCTCCTGGGCGGTTTTGGCTGGCATTCGTCAATCAGCCAGATTGACCACTTCACACCACTCCGAAGAAGATAATGGTTTTCACTTCGGGCATTCATCCTCGTTTTTGAGGTCGCGGCGCCGTGTGCGCAGCATCCGTGTCTCTTATATAACTTATATATCCACAAGGGCACCTAGTAGACTGGTTCAGATGTTGGGTTGTATAGTAGTGTTATTATAGATTCTGAAGTAATATATGTACATGTTGATATACCTTTCTTCAGCGAGCTTCTCAACTCAATAAGGTGCACATTCCGCGCGGTGTAGAGCCGGTGCAGCAAACGAGAAGGCAGGCAGTCTTGGCGGCGCGGGCGCAACTGGAAGGAGTCGGGGAGCCGTCGGACATCCAAATCTTGTTCCATCAGCCGCGCTCCTACAGAGCGACGCCAGCTTCTGTACAAGCAACGATGACGATTGACGAGCGAATGCCATCTGAGAACCCCATACGTCTGGGATTCCAAGAACTCAAACTCAGGGCTCTCAGCCAATTTAATTTACCAACGGCATGGCCTCAAAGCGCAGGCATTTCATACCGGACACGAGCCTCGCATTTGACTGACTCCTTTTGCTTTTCAGGACTCGAGGCCCTGTGTTTCCAATACTGTGCATGCGTCTCCTTCCCTCTCTGGCTCCCGTTTCGGGAGGTGCATTCATGCAGCCCCATGTGCACATACCACTCAACGTAGGTCCACTTCGCCTCGCAAGCGGCTTTTTCGCAGCGGTGCCTGATCGGATTTGGCCAACCCGGTCCTGTCGGCCGGTCGAACTCATCGGAAGGAACTGGACAAACTGACCCGGCTGGAGCGGACGGGGCCTGACGGTCGCCCGGCCAACGCATTTGGCGCTGTCCGATACGTCCTGACCTGGTCTGACCTCCTGACCCGCCGATGGGGTGACCTGACTGGCTGCCTCTGTGAATGACCTGAGAGTTGCTGAACGACCGAGTGGCTGGTCGCCGTTCGCCGTTCATCAATCGAAAGTGCTTTGAGTACCGCTCCACGGAAAATAGCTGCTTCAAACAAGCGAACAACATGTATGAATTCCGGCTCGTGCTTTGCATGTTGTACTGTGCAGTGCTTTCAGTATCAGGAGCTGGTGGGGTGCATGGGGCAGCCTCGAACTCAAAATGCTTGGTGAAGCAGCACGAGAGTAACTTACTCCGGGTCGTGGCCTTTGATGAGGAGAGCCCCGAACCTTATTGAATCAGCGCATGGCCAAGGCCTTATTTTCTGTGCTTATATCAGTGTCTACACAGTTGTTGCGCTACATCCGTTCGCAGGCTGCCGCACCGTCTCCCGCAGCTACATCGGACGTTTCTGAAAGCTGAAGCCGAAGCCGGCAGGGGCAGGCGTAAGCAGGTGGCGGCGATTCGAGAACGATGGATACGCTTGGCAGAGCTTCGGCCGTTCTCGGTCCTGCTCGCGATTCTCGGAGGAGGCATGCAGATCATGAAGCTCCGATCAACATCTTCAACCCGATGTTGGCACGATGTTGTAGGATCGAGCACAGCTTGTCGAAACCAATGAGCGTCAGGAAGTGCATTCCGGAAAAATGTTGCTGTGGACTTTGCCGTGCATGCTGCAAGTCTTGCTAAAGAGAGCTGTAGTCAGTAGGCATGGCTGCGTTGTGTCAGGTGTATCAGGCTCGAGCTTTGGTTGGAGACGCTCGTCCAAAGGAACCAGGCGCCACCGCGACTTGGCCCAGCACGCCTCCTGTCACACGTGCCTGCGCAGCGATTCTCCTTTATGCTTTGCGCTCGGCTCAAACAGCATGGATGCGTTGACTGACACTGCGACAATCGTTACAGAACTGGGGCTGTTTACTGAAGAAATGTGCAAACTAGTAGGGCTCGCGCACATGGCACAGCAGTGCCATGGTGATCCATCCCTGGTGGAACACAGCTTCTACAGTTGCGACCTGTCTGCCGGTGAAAGGAGTGTGGAGTGCTTGCAGCTGGCATGGCAGAAAATGCTTGCAGGCTGTCTGTCGCTTGATTTTGATGATGCCTGAAGGACGTTTCATTCCAGAAGACCAGCGCCACTCGGCAACGGCGGGTTCTGGCTGGCATCACTGGAAAGGGTTAGCGTATGTTAGCGTACCTTCTAGCTGGTAGCATGCGCAGAAGTTTCACGCCGTCACGGTGCTTGTCTTCCTCGCTTATCCTCCAGGCCTAGCAGTTGATCGGGCTGAGGGATCACAAGGGTGACATCGGGTTGCAGATTCGAGACCGCCCCTGTGTGACAGCCAATTCCAGTTTACGGCGGGGGCTCCCTTGTCCATGACATGCCCCTGCATCTGGGACTCCAGCTATGCCATTTTAGTGTGCCAAATCGCAGTGGTGGGACTCCCTAGTCCACGACGTTTTCCTGCACGCAGAAATCCCCCAGCTAGTTATTATAACAGGTTGCAGCGGTGGGGCTCCTTGACATAGAGCTTGAGCTACCATGGGAACGAGCACACCATGGACTCATCGGTTACACCTTCATAGCGACTGCAGCCCCGACTTCCGCTGGTGCGCTTTGCCCGATTCTACTGCTTGCTCGCTTGCCTGCCATGCACGGGGCCATGACGCTTTCGGAGCTCCGTGCCCTGCTTGCGTCTGGACCCCTTCGACGGCGACGACGACGCGGGTGACCCCTTTGACCGGGGGATGTCTTCTCTATCTCTGTCTCTCTCCTCGTTTGTTTATGAAGGGTGATTCAGGAAATGGGCGAGGCAGCATAGGGCAGAGGTTTGGTTAAAGGCGCAACATCCGAAGCTGGCAAGTGCTTTGGAGGGCAGCTACTCTGCAGTAAGCCAGCTCATGGCGAATTCCGATCCAGGCATCAAGCTCCCTTTGAAGCCAAATCGAGCCGGAGCGATTTCCGTGCCTAAGCTGCGATGTCCAGGACTGTGCTAAGCATGTGCACTCCCGGTCGGAGCCTAAGGCATTAAGCCTCAACTTCATCGCTTTCGGCCGGGCCAGGCAGAGTGGAAAGTCATCAGCGCAAGCACGCGATGAAACATTAAGATGTATGAGACAACCAGTCATGCAATTAAGCAGCTATAAGCGAACCGTCTCAAGCTTCAACCACGGAGAAAGACTCCTCCGAGTGGAGGAAGTAGTGCCGACTCCTTCGTAAGCGATGCCCCTGTGGTTCGTGATTCAGGAAATCGTCAAGGTGGCGTTGCAAACACGCATCTCGGAGAAGCTTTGACGCGGTCTCCGCCAGATTCTCAGAGGTCCAGAAGTCTCGGACGCAGCAAAAGACGAAAAGCAACGTGCAGCCGCTGGCAGCGTTCTTGTCTTCAGACTTCGTTTGATGCGCTCGCTCCCCGACAACCCGATCTGCTGCTTTTCATTCGTCGCTAAGATTCGCTAAGCCCAAAGACCCGAGCTCTTCGAGTTGCGGCACGCACGTGGCATCTGGTATTTGCTGACCTCTGTCAGACTGAAATCGGACCTCTTGGTAGACATGGACCGAGCAAGAAGGACTTGGAGGAAACGCAGAACCCTGTCACAGTCACAGTTTCGCATACGTACGATTCAATACATGGTTGCACATTCACGAGCGTTTCACTGCCTTCAGGATGTAGCGGCAGTTGTCGCTCACAGCTTCTTCGTGGCAACCTTTGATGCAGAGAGAAAGCGACCACCGCCTCAAGGGCCTCTGCGGAAAATCGTGGGACAGGTTCAGAACTCGGCGCGACGACGTGTGGCATTGAAAGAACACGCCACATATCTCCGTGTCAGGTGTACGATGACCTGGCCATGCGCTACACCGCACCTGGTGGGTCTGCCTGCCTGCTTATCGCACGAAGAGCAGGCGGGTTCACAGTGCTGGAGAATTCTAACTTGCTGGGCGTTTTCGATCCGTTCAGGCTCAGTCGTCGGGTGCGTGGGCCTGGAAGTCATGCCATTCGAGGATATTGCTTGCGACAGTCTTTTTGCAAGTTCAGAGCAGAGGCACATGTTTGACAGGAGCTTCCCGTGTCCTCTCCTGCACGCGTTTCAAGCATAGACGCCTCGTTTCGGCGATTCCCAAGGCAGGCATCCGGAAAGTTGTAAGTGAGTCCTGCTTCTGCGCTTTGCTTATTGAGGCAACGAGTGGCTTACATGTCAAACCTGTCCGTTGCTTGCCCAGATGCTGTAAGCGAGGGAAATTCAGCGAGCCGATGCGAGAAACGCCCAGGTCCTGCAGAGCGCAAGGCGCCAAGGCCTTGGCCGGCAGCTGATCCTCAAGGCTCCACCGCTCCGCCAACCCTCGGTTCTCAGAGCCTCCGCAGCTGATTTGCGAGGCTGAAGAGTGGGCGCGAGACGTTCTCAGAGTTCAGGAGGCATCAGGGGGGAAACAATATTTTCATGATACATACACGCACACGGTAAAGTTTTAGGGTTTTCTGCTACATAGAAGTACACAGCACCGGAGAAATCCCACTTGGACACTACATCGTTTGTGCGTCTGAGGAAGTTATCAGAGAACCAAGGGATGCCCGATTCAGATAGTCCTCAGCAGAGGCAGTTCTGATCCGTATGAAAAGGCAAGATCAGAAACCACTCCGTGCACTTCATCCGAGGATCCAAACCAGGTAGACAAGGATAGACAAGCCGTTCAAGCGCTGACATGGTGACAAACTGCACTTACTCGCTAGCTCACTTTCAGTCGCTCTTTCAGGTAGGCAATTCTAATTAGACCGGCGAAGACCCCAGATAGCTGGGGAAGTGTCAGAAAGGTTCATGGTTTCGGACGTGCAGGGGTGTCAAAGGTCTTAGCCACGAAGTTCAGCCAGTTGGCTCTTCCTTGTTGTCCCCAGGTAGTTTGGCGCGCGCAGCGCTGCTTAAGGCTCAGGCTTACCAATCTGCGAAAAGCAATGTCTGGGCTCACTCTTTTTCCCATGCTTCAATTGCGGCTTGTGGCCCAATTTAAACTCCACTCGGCCTCTCCAATCTTTCGGGTCACTGGGAAGGGTGCTTGCCAAAATCACATGCCTGATAGTGTCAGTCGATCCCTCATCGTACATCTTGTATGTTACTCTTTCGCCAGTCAATCGGGACACTTATTTTGGCAAAGTCTTGGAGGCTTCGATTCGAGGATCGAGCGTTTCCTTTCTCTGTCTGGACGTGACCGTGCGGGATCAATGTCAGCTGGGGCTATTCACTTCCCAGGCATCATAGGTGTAACGCTGTGCATTCTTTATGCCCTGCGCCACAGCAATCAGGGCACCAATCCGCTGAAGATAGTCAACCGAGCTGTCATGCAAATCCGACACGCGCAGCACACCCGCAATGCACCAAACGTTTGCTCCGTTCCCGACAACACACCAGTCAAACAACTCGCTGCCAATCTCGCCGCATCTACAATGGCATGCGAATAGCAGTCGGTATCAAGTATACCCTGTCGCAACAATCGGAAGAACCAGTCAATCAAGGCAAGATAGCCTCGAGCCCCATACGGTCCAAAAGTCTTGCAACAACAGTCGGCAACACTGAACGGAAACGGCATCCACTGCACACGTAGAACTGTACACTCATGGAATGACCATTGCTACAGTCAAGCTGCACAATCTTGCCACCTTGAATATCCAATGTCTTTCCAGACAGACTTCGCAGTGAGGGCGCATTTTCACTCAAATATAGCGCAAGATATTCCGGCGCAATCCATTCTGGTCAACAGTTTGCACAAGCTCCACTGTCGAACAGTATCCACGACTTCCCGATCAGTCAAGCTTGCCCCCGAAATCAATGTGCCGATCAAGACCATGCTCCATGCATGGAACAGATTCGTCATTATCCCAGGCGTCGCACCTCGGACGCTCGATCGGGGCTCACAGCGGCAACATTCTGCAACGGCTCACTCTTGGTGGCTTCCTGCGATGCATTCGTTTGGGAGCTAGACGCCATGTTGGAGCTTGGCTGCTCCACGCTCCCCAACCTTGTGAATTCCAAGACTCTTCGTTCCAACAATTCCAGCCCTTATCAGTCACCGGACCCAGTATCAAACGAACCTATCCACTCATGACTCCAATCACCACTACCTGCATGATCATCGTACCGTTCCTGTTCCCGATTCCAATCCCGATTCCACACTCCTTGATGAATCTCCTGTTGGTTATCATCATCGGTCACTGCCGACATTTTCCCTTAGCACCCTCTACTCCAGAGGCTCGTGTCACCACAAACAAACCAACCTTGTCGCTTTGAAATGTCCTATGATTCCTGTTCCTTGTCCTCCCATTCCTTTGCATTCTTCTCTCTGTCCTCTGGCCTTGTACCTTCCTTTGCGTGTGCTCTTTCCTTGGTACATACCTTTTCAATACTACCCGCTTGCTCCTTGCCTTCCTTTCTTCCCTTTCAATGCTCCAATGTCCATGTCTGCTGGACCACCGTCATCCCTCATAGGCACCGTCTGTCTGCTATTGAGATAGCTAGACGCAATCTCCATGACTTCACTGAATGTGTTGATGTTACGAGCAGTAAAAACACAAATGCTGCTGCACCGGACCAGTCGGTTTGTGCAGGAGATCATTGTCCAACGGCTTGCCAGCCGCCTTGTGACGATTCTTCAAGATGTTGAAATCGTTCACATCACTCTCCAGTTGGTCGCTTCGCAGCTTGAACGAAAGGATCTCATTCAAGAGACTCGTGTCTCCCGCTCGTTCAGGCACGGCACACTGTCTGCACAATCTTCCCCAAATCTCAAAGCTATTTTGTGTCGTTATGTCGAAATGGCCGCCCAAGCAGCACCATCAGTGATCTGTGCCAGCATGCATGCCAGTTGTCGTGAGGAGAACAACAGTTGGCTGTTTTGTGCTCCAGCCTGCTGCACGTCAAAGGCTTCACTCAAGCCATCAGCGGTCATTCTCTGGGAACTTTCGACATCATCCATCATCATCCATCATTGGCTTCGCAGGGGGCTTGTACAATCCAACATACATACTGCTTCGGTTGCCATGACAAATCTTCCCATTTCTCCAGGTCACCGTGGTACACTGGTGGCGGGAACAGTTTGACCTTACCGCCAGTTCCTCTCACCCCCCTTCGAAAATCAACGGTTTTGTGGTTCATCACAAGCACCGCTCGATCAGGCCAGCTGCGCGCAGTGTGGCATTGCAGTGCCACTCCACCTTTTCGTCCAAGCACACGACACGACGTCATTCGGGGACATTCTGATGATGACCATGCCGCCAATACATGCTGACGACCACTCCCCATTTGGGGTGCTGATATGGCTGACATGGTCACTAAACTGACGATTAAGGTAGTTGTCAATCTTGAGGCGCTGATTGGCATTGTTCTGCCCCCACATCTTCCTCACGACGGTCATTTCTCGACTGCACGCGATGAACACGACATTCTCCTTGCCACTCTCCTGAAGCACTCCTTACAGTGCCGCTGCACTGACTTCCGCAAGGCACACATCATACACCCGTCCATGAGATCGTTTGTGCATAAGGCTTTTCCGTTCCATTAGCTGGCATGTGGTCGGCCTTGACGAGCAATACCAGCCAGTCTCAATCACGCATGCTTTCGGAGAAGTCTGGAGCGCCCAAAGTTCCAACGATGACATTCTGAATTGAGCTCATTGACTCATTGAATCATTCGAGTGCTCATCGCTGTGCTCAAACCGCCACCACCCAGAGAATCCCTGGCTAGCCTGCAAGCCGGAAATCAATCCCCAAGTCGCCCAACACAAATCTGCCGGAGTAGACCCCAAACAGCGAGGATTGTCAGAAAAGGCCAAAGGAGGCCAGAAGAAGCAGAAAGCAGCGGGTCGCCCATCGCGCTCCAAAATGCCAGAAGAGTGAGCCTCCAGAAAGAGGCCGGAAAAGGCCAGAACAGGCCGCCCCACCGTGTGCGCCGATGCCGCCTATAAGTGGATGTTCCAGAAGAGACCGAAAGAGGCCCAGACTGCGCGCACCGCTGCCGCCCGCAAACTAAGTGGGCCTCCCACAAGCCGCTGCGGCCCGCAACCATGGGTCCCCCACAAAGGACCGCCCCCACATGCGCCGCTGCGTTGCGGCCTAGCCTAAGTGGTTTCCAGAGAGGCCAGAAGAGGCCCCTCCACTTCAGGGTGGCGGGTCGAAACTGTGGCAAAAAAATCCATGTCACCAAACTGTTGGGGTAGGGAGGAGGATCGAATAGGATCGATTTAGATGAACCCCCAAGACGCCGCGGGCCTGTGGCCTCGGCGGATTTGGTTGATTTTGATTGGGCATTTTTTTTCATACCGCTGCCCCGTGCAGCGGCGGCATGCGCCGGTGGACACAGAGCGCCCCACCAAGCATACCGAATGCATGCCGCCGCACCCGTCGCCGGTGGCGGACATGGCGCGCCCCACCTGCATGCCGCCTGCATGCCGCTGCAATTCCTGCGGCGGCGGCGGACACAGCGCGGCCCATTATTTTGCTGGAACCTGCTCATTTACTGACTGGTTTCGCCGTTTGCGCCCTTCACGCGCAAAAACAGGAGTGGAGAGCGTTTGACTAGTTGGACGGGATCTTGGTTGCATTGGCTATAGCCCCCAAGTCCTTGTCATGTTCCGCTTCATCCGAAGCCAGCTTCTGTGCAGTGATGGGTGTGTCATGCGCGGCCGCAAACGGTGCAGGTCTTGCTGATGGTGTGCTCAGACAACGTTCCTGCTCAGCGTCTTTACGAGTGCTTGGGATACCTCCAGATTTTCCAGGCGCAACTCTTTCAGTTGCAAAAATGCCGTGACCAACTGCCATCAAAGGGTGGCTCCTCCTCTTGGATCCTGCCTCTGCACATTGTCCAGGATCCATGGGCTGTCCGTGCAGTTCCAGCAGACAACGGAGAAATCGACCGAATTCGGGTGATGAACTTCGGCTATTCGAAGGGGCTCTCGAAGGCACGGGGTATGGTGCTGGGATTGCTGGACCGACGAAGCTGTTTCGCAGGTGCCCGAAGAACGAAGCCGCTTCGAATCTGCACGGCAAGCCAACTCCCCCAATCTCGTGCCTTGCTTGCTACCCTGATTTGTGCTTCAAGTCTTCATGTGTGCAGCTACTTGTGGCATCTTGTAGTCCAGTCAACTGAAGCATTGCAAATCTTGCCAAGGCACAAACGCTTAGCAGCACTTGGTCTTCGCTGGCATCCCAGTTAGGCCGGATCCGACTTTTTTCGCTTTGCGGGAACATGCGTCTTCAAGAGGACAGATCCCTGCCACTTCGGCAAGGTATGTGGAAGACATGAGGAATCATTTGCGGCTCTCGCATCGCAGGGTGTGCTGCGGGGTTCAAAAGCACCAAATGCCCAAGTGCGACGGCACAGGGTTGAGCCAATGGGCCAATGGAGAAGATGCTGTCTTCGATGCAAGCTTGACAAGATTAAGCTTGCAGGTGGCAATGGCAACAGCAGCCGTGAAACAGAAGAACTTGCTTTCGACCTGCAAAAGTCCGACTACATTGTCGCAGTCGAGCAGGCGGACTTATGCTGCTAGAGTTTCAGGCTTCTACATGCCCCCCCTTGCAAAGCGTTCTTCGAGGTACTGCATTCTTCGCACATTTCAATCTAACCTCGTTGCCAGACGATTTCCTGCAATCTCTGCAGGATCCCTGCTTTGACTCCCTCTTTTCCCCTTCAGCGGGTCAGCCTGAGTCACATGGCGTTTTGGGTTTCGAATTCTGCTAGGCAGCTGTTGGAAACAGTGGCAGTTTGGGAGCTCAGCTGCTTTTCATCACCGTGCCATACTCAGAGCTGCGTTTGTTGTGCGCTGGAGGTCGAGTCGGGGGTTCCCCGTCTAGAGTCTAGAGTTCAGATCTGTTCAGATCAGATGGGCCAGGGCGTTGCATTGCTGCAGTCATGCGAGCCCGAGCTCTTCTCTGCGGCATGCGCTCCGCATCTGCTGGGCATTTGTCCTCAAATCATGCTCCCGATGATACGAGACTCAGACACATTCTGGCAACGGCCCACGACACGCCTGCACAGTACGTTGTGGAACCACGAGGTTCAGCTAGAAGAGCATGCAACAGAGCTACAGGTAGCTGATTGCCCTGAAAGTGCCCTGTGGTGCGGCGCACATGTCGCTCACTAATGAGAGATGATGCGGCCAGCGGCCCCCTCTCGCGCAGAAACCGGCTTATTCTTTCGCGTGGTCGAATGTATACCTAGAACCCGAACTCGAAGCATCTCGAAGCCCTCATCGTAACCGCAGCGATGTCCTGGCAAAACCCTGCACAACCGTGAAGTCACAAAGCAGTAAAGTTGGGAATTTAGAACATTTTAGAACCCTAAAAAAGTCTGCAAAACCGGCTACAGGCAGTAGAGACTTGAGGTTTAAACTCATGGACACTCTTGGCCTGCTTGTTTCCCGAGGCTAGCAGCCGAACGCTCTACGTGGTGGGCCAAAGCCATCGCAAGAGAGAGCCGTTGCCGAGCAGAGCAAGACCCCGAGGAAAAGTCATGTCACTGAATTCTGCTGGAAAGCCGCCACTGACCTGCGCTGGATCGATGTGAATCTACCTGCTGCTTCGAGGTTCGAGTGGATGTTCATGCTGGAGAACAGATCGTTGGCTTGCAGGTCGGTTCTTGAGAATCATACTAATGCTCGCAGTAGTTCCACGAGCCAAAACCCTTCACTGCTGTACCCTGCTGAACGATTTTGTGCCCAGGACATGCCGTCCATGTGGATGAAAAAATGATGGTAAGGGCTGTTCTTTGTTCCGCAAGGTAGAATTTGGAAGGATCATTGGCGTCGAAACAGCCCTTGAGCCAGCCGATGCTCAGCTGCAGTGAAGCTGGATCGAAGAATATCGATTTGTGTGTGTGTGTGTGTTGCGGATAGCATGAGCTGCATGCCGCAGGTCGCCGACTGCGACTCCGATTTGCAGGAATAGCCACACATAGAGATGAAGCCGATGAGTCCAAGCATGCAGGGTGTTCATCAGAGAGTCGTCTTGAGTGTACAGGGGCAAGCTGCTTTTCTACACATTGCTCTGTGCCGAAGAGCGGCGCAACCGAGCAATGCTTTCATCTCGCAGGCCGATGCCGAGCACCTGCAATGTACATAAGCGCTGGCCGGCAGATCTGCAAAGCTCGGACCTTCTTGGCCTGGCCATCTGCGAAATTGGGCAGATCTGCAGAAACACATGCAGATCTGCTGAGTCGGTTTGGCAGACGAGGTGCTGGAACAAGCAAGACCTTGAGTAGGACTGACCGGCCATTCATCGCAGTCTGTGTGCCAGACACAATCGTATCGGTTGTCCGTGAGTTTTGTGTGAGGTCTCAGCGTAGCTGTCATAGCCGGGCTGGGGCCGAGCATCTTGCAATGGACCCACAATCCCAACAGGCTGACGAGGCAGGAGTTGTCTTCCCGAGCTTGTGTTGTGGGAGGTATGTTTTGTCAACACCATCCTCGTGACAAATCAACCCTTCGTGGCATGTCGGGGCTAAAATCAGGCAGAGCCTCCTTTCGGAAGTCTCCACCTGAGGTCCCCCCCTTTGTAAAGCCCACCGTTACATTCACTTCAAGCCGTCTTGAAGCCAAGACTCGGTAAGGCCAGTTGGTGAGACATGTGCCTGGCCAGGGCGTTTAGTGCCGAGTTTTGTGCGACGGACTTGAGAATGGCTTTCGGTGAGTACCGCTCGGCCACAAGAAGCACATGCTACAGATTTTTACAGGGTTGCTCCTGCCAGTAGCAACGATCCTTAAAGCCATTCAGTTGCTTTGCCTGATAATCTCTAGCGTGCTTTCAAGTGATGTGGCTCAGACTTGACAGGGGGCTTCAAGCCGCTGGTGGCAGCCAAAGCCTCGAATCTGCCAGCGACATCCATTTGTTGAGCTCTCTCTGGAAGAGATTCGGCGTGTGCACGGGCTTGCAGTACTGCTGGATTCGAGACTGTGCGTGGAAGCCGCCATGTGTGGTTCAAGCTCGGGCCCAGTAGGGCAAGATGGTTGTCTTCCAAACATATGCCGGCCTGGCAGTGCCTCTCTCGCATTGAAGGTGCGTGTGCTGAAGGTATCTGAAGGTGTCTCTGAGCATGCTGGACTTTGGAAGTTCTACACAAGCCCAGCACACTCAGTCTCGAGCACGGTGCTGTTCATCTGTTGGATGCCTGCTCTTCAGATCAGCGCATGTGTGCATGCGTCTACATCCTTATAGGTCTTTGTCTTTCGCATATACCTGTCTACGAGTGTGTTTGTCCGCTGGCTAATCTATCGGCACAACCGAAGATAAATACATTCCTACATGTACATATGTACATATATAAATATATACACACATATACATGTAGACATATACATACGCATACATGCATACATACGTGCATACATACATACACGTATATATATATATATATATATATACATATATATGTGTGTGTATGTACATGATATATGAACCCCCCAAGGATCCACCTTTTCCCCTCCCAAGGGACCTACCACGCTGCAGTGTACTCTCCTGGCCAACACAGGCTGAAGCTTGCGACAAGACACACAAAAGCCTCACATACGTGCAGTGACAGCATATCCTCGAATAGGCATCTGTCGCACGAATGCACGACTTACCAGTATAATACCTGTTATCTCGTTTTCGAATACAGTGGTTGCATGTGTTATTGTTCGTGATAGGTTGAATATACAGTCAATAGTAGGTCAGTATTGGCTGAATAGTTCGCAGTGTTTGGCCTCATGCTTAAATTGTGCTCATGGGATACTCATGTGGCGCAAGTATGTACTTGGATGAGATACTAGATACTCAGATAGCAGTTACGATACATGTGCTTCTGCTTCTGTTGGAACTCATGTGCGATTGATATTAAATATTTGTTCAGCATGTGATAGAACATGTTCTTGAACATCCTACCTTCAGCAAACACTGGAATAGCTAGCCTACTGCAGGCATTCAAATGAGAAGCAATCGGTGGGTAAGTCGGGAAGATCCTATTGCAAGTTTGGGTGGAAGCTAACGCTTATCTCAGTCATCAGTCATGAGGAGATCAAGAACAAGTCGAACCAGCGAACTCGAATGTTGCTTACGTCATTAGACATGTTGTGAAATACCGAAGACATGTTGCTTAACTTAACAGTACGTGTTCAAACGAACACGGGTTAACAATCAGCTGTATGCATTTGTAATACAACCGCATTAGATTTCAATTTTGATGTGTTGAAATGCCGACTGCATGTTTTTAGAAAACTTATTTTCCATTGTGCCCGGAATTTAGAACATGTTTTTTGGCGGAACCATCTTGACAATCTTGGTCATCTTGGTCAAGCGGGGGGAGCAAGATTGCCACGCAATCTTGGCAATCTTGGCCATCTGCCCCTGCACCACTTGCTCGCCGACCAGTTTGATGTTGGGGGACCAAGATTGCAAGATTGCTTACAATCTTGCCCCTCGCCCCTGCCCCACTTGCTCGCCGACCAGTTTGATGTTGGGGACATTGGGGGACCAAGATTGCAAGATTGCATGCAATCTTGCTCCCCGCTCCTGCCCCACTTTGCTCGCCGACTAGTTTACCTTTTGGAGACCAAGATTGCAAGATTGCTTGGCAATCTTGGTCGCAATCTCGGTCTAAGAGGTAAACTAGTCGGCGAGACCAAGATTGCTGCCCAAATAAATGTTCTAATTCTCGGCACACTGTACTCTTCGCCAATCGAAACGTCAGCCAATATCTGCTGGCCAGTAACAAAATTCGAACGACTTACATACTCGCTAAACGACTCAAGCATCGTACGAGCACTCAAGTTATGTTACATTCCCCAAAAAGACATTTCAAAAAAATCGAAATCTCGAAAGAAAGCATTTCGGGGCATCTGACCCCATGTATCCTTCTTGCTTCGTCTCCGGTACGTGCAGTCGAGAACTGCGTGATACAGTCTGCTTTCAATGGCAATGTTTTAGGGCATGAAGCTTAGCGAGGCCCTCGCAAGCTCAATAGAGGAAAATGCTTACCCTTCACTCCTAAGTGAAAAAGCCTAACCAGCAGAAACAAAGCCTAACCGAAAGGAATCAACAACCTAAAGTTCGTATTGTCACAGGCCTCCCACTGGAAGACTTCCGGAAGTCAGGTTTTGAGGTTGTTTTTTTTCGGTCAAGTTTTTTCTGTTAGTTTTTGGTCTGGGGCCCTGGTCCTCTAGTCCCGTCGTCCGCTGGTCTCTGGTCCCCTGGTCCTGCGGTCAAAAAACTCTCCCGTCTCTTTTCAGTGGTGCCGTGGATCGCCCGGTAACGGGCCACAGGCTGCGGCCCGTGAAAAGTTTTGGACGGGCTTAGCAGACGTGCAGAACCGGATTTGGCAAGTGACACTGAGGGGGCCGGTTTCAGATATATGATGAACGTGAATCACCGAATGAGGTGGTGTGTTCAAGATATATGATCAGGGGGCGTGATTAAGATGTATGATGAACTGGTCTCGTGCAATGAGGGGGTATGTGATGAACCGGTGTCGCCACGTGAGGGCGGGGTGTTTCAAGTACATGATGATCCGGAATCACCAAAGGAGGGGGGGTGTTTAGTATTTATGATGAACCGGAATCGCCACATGAAGGGGCGTGTTAAAAATGTATGATCAATGATGAATGCGATCGCCCAACGAGGCGGCGAAGTATGATGAACCGGAATCGCGAATTGACTGGGCTTGTTTAAGATAGTGTGTGCGCGCAGAATGCAAACTCATGTCTGCCCTCTTTCGTGTCTAAGTTTTCTCACGAACCATGCTGGTACACACATGAGAAGACCTTTCCAGGCCTCCATCAAGACATCATCGACAAATCGTCGCAAGTAGTAAACTCCGTGTCCGTGTTTTGCGCTGTTTTGTCAGCCCCACGCCCAGCTTGTTTAAGCGTTTCATATGGAACGATATATGCTGAACCGGAATCGCTCTGCAAATTGTAACTCCCCAATAGACTGACGCAGAACAGATAGCTTGACACAAAGCAAGACGTTTCAAATTGTAATTGCCCAATAGCTTGACACAAGACAGGAGCCTCGAATCAGCAAGCCCCCAATACCTTGAGGCAAAACAGAACCCTGCAAATTGTAACTCCCCACGAGCATGACAGGAGCAAATGCTGCAGTTTACAGTCTTTGCAACCCAAAACGCCAACGTTGGCAGACCGTTGCGGTGAGACAAAAACACCTCCGCCACTGTCGGTCAGAGTTTTTCGGTTAGGTGTTTTTCTCATTTTTTCAACTAGCCTTGCAAAGGCTTCCCAAAACCCTATGCCCTCCCACGGCCCTTGAAGACAAACTGTGCGTACATGAAGCCAGAAAGGATGGATCAATGAGGGGGAACCACATTTCTTATGTTATTATAGGTGTATGCATATATATACATATATATATATATGTACACACAAAACGGGACACTGTGAGAGTGTGTCGTTTTCTGAGGTTTCGGCCACTTGCGAATCCAAAATTGCGGACAACTGGGTGTGTGTGTGTGTAGATATATATATATATATATGTATACATATATACATATAGCTTCCTGATTCTCTCTCTCACTCTCTCCGGTGACGAGTCGCGATCAAATCCCACGACGGAAATTGCAGAATGTCATCAGGCGAAATTACGGCGGACTCACCTACTACAGTGCATTGTTGGCCCGCTCTGGGCGGCGGTAGGTTAGCGCAAAAGAATTGTCGCATGCTTCCACACTGCTGGCATGAGACAAAACAATGCAGGCAAGAGGGATGACTCCGAGAATCCCTTCAATCATGTGGTGGTAGTGGTGGCGGGGTGGGCGGGTTGGGGTGGCGGTGGCGGCGGTGGTGGCGGTGGCGTGGTGGGGGCGGCATGGGTCGTGATCCAAAACGTGGTTGTCGTGCCATCGTCACGATCACTGAAACGCATGGACACCACAACAGAGCTTACGGTGGGTTCTTCGAGAAACGAATGAACATGAAAAGACTTCATCATGTGGAGATGAGTGTTAACATAAGAATGTTACATGAAAGGAGGACAAAGTATATTCTGGTGGATTTGTGTGGACAAGGCATCCTGAGCCCAGCCCTGGAGCGATGTTCTGTCTTTTCATTGTCTCCTTTGCAGCATTGCAAGATTCCATCACCAGCCGCGCTTGCACTTAGGCGGTGCTGTCGCTAGCACTAGCAGCGGATCCGGGCTCGTACGTGCGCATGGAAAGCATGCGGGGCGAGTCAATGGCAGGAGACGCGGAAGACCGAGCAAAGCCGGTCTACAATCCTCTGCAAAAAGTGCAACACAAGACAAGCCCACAGCACCAGCAATTGGCTTTTGCTTGTCCTTTTAGCAGATCGCTCACAGAACGGGAACACAAGCGAGTGCAGGAATGCTGCTGTCCAGTGATGGCCTTGCGGCGATGGAGCTTTGGATAAACTCCAATGTCATGGCTGTGCGGCATGTTGTACCCACATGGTTCAGAATGTTAGTGTCATATAGTATCCCGACTGAGGAGAGGCAGATGAGTGGTGAGGTAAACGAGTGTCTCGGCTCTTCGTGTTCTGCAGGTTATTCGGTAGCCCCTAGCCGAGAGATTTAAACAGGTTTGAGCGACTGAAAAGAGTCTCCATAAAGTACAGGCGAGCTCTTCAAGCCGTGAAGCCCCGACGATCAAACTCATCAACATCCTGAGCAACAAGACACCTCATGCAAAGTGCATGACTCTCATGGTGCAGGAACAATCTAGACACAGTTCGTAAGTGCAACGACTGCTAAACTTCATCCAACATCAAAGCAGCTGTTCAGCTTGAGGATGCAGCGATCCGCCGCCAGTGCCATCAAACAACGGGCAGAGAAACTTGAGGACTATGGTCTC